ACAAATGCTGTCGCATCTTCTCTTCCATCGATCTGATTTACCTCAACTTCGACTAGTATTGGCTGGTTTTGTCCCTCTGGTGGACCCAACGATTCTGTCAGTTCGAGTGACATTTCTGCACTTTGTCCCCATCCTTGTGAAGTTGTCCCCTTTTGTCCCCGCAGTTTTCCACATTCCTCTTCACCTTCATCAAATGTTGTGGTATCTTCCCTTCCGTCCATCTGATTAACCTCGACATCGACTAGTATTGGCTGGGTTTGTCCTCCTAGTGCATCCACACTTTCGTCCCCCACATACATATCGTCCTCGTATATATCGTCCTCCATACCGGAATATATATCGTCCTCCACTCTACCCTTTTGTCCCCGCGGAGATCTGTCTGCAATTGTCAATGCTTTCTTCCTCGAATCCTTCCAAGGATCCCAATCCGGCGGGTACTCCCTATCGATCAACTCCCTCATATTATCAAAGTCATAGTCGCCTGAATCTTCTCCCTCACTTAACATGTTGTCTTCCGACTCGGATGCCCATCCTCCACTATCCGTGCCCAATGCTACCACCAGTTCCTCTTCTCGTCCCCGCTTAGCTTTTCCCTTTTGCAGCACAGCTTCCTTCCTTTTATAAGATTCTTCAAACGCATATATTTCCTCTAAAAAGTCCTCTTCCTCAAAAGTTACAGGAATTATCTGCGTGCTTTCACTCTCACCTCTGTGCTGTCGCGCCATATCTTGTCCCCGAAAATCGTCTTGTCCCCCGAGATTTGACACATCTTCATCGTCTTCTTCTAAACATAGATACATGTTCATACCTCCCTTTTCTATTCTTACCTTTTTGAATTTCGACAATGAACTCTCGCTGTCAACAGAGACTGGCGGCATCTTTTGCTGCGTGTAGACAGTGTCTCCTCCTTCGAACCAAAAACTCAGCTCCATTTTTGTCCTTCTTCTGTCTACTCCAAACGCTGCGGCAATTTTCTGCTCAACATCAGCAATCGTATCTCCTGCGCTTACGTCTACACACTTTGCATATTTCTTTGCCGACATCTTGAATCGCCACTCTCCACTTTCTTTGCATTCCCAGCAACCGACCAATATCATTACTTCTTCGTCCATCAGTACCTGTCGTCTTCCAATAAATACCACCATCTTAGACTGTGGGTGGTTGCATTTATCACAAACAAACAAATCTACCCTTTTTCTGTGGACAAAAAATATTGCAATAAATTTTACCTTCTTTAGCTTTAAATGCACCCTTCTTCAACCAGAACTCCAATTTCGCCCAGCATCAGCGTTTTCTCCCCAGATTTCCAGTTTTTTCAGATCTACAAAGCTCTTTTTTCTGATATATTAAGAGAGCAATTAATGGCCTAACCCTACTCTATTATCATTTCTATTAATTAAAATCAATTATCTACCACATGTAACCGTGCAGCATTAATTGATGCCCTGCTCCTTCTTTGGAAGCGCCGAGTGAAGCTGTCTCCGTCTCTGACACAGCCTCTCTGTCCCAATCAGGGGTATTTTCGTCCATGGTCGAGCGCGTGGGATTGAGAAATGGTACATTTTGAAAAGCTTTTCCAAAAGTGGTATATATTGAATGCCAATTGTTTAAATGTGGTACATTTTAAAATATTCCCTTCCAAATTCTCCATCATAATAAAAAAAAACAATTAAGTAATGGTTTCGTTTTTTCATCGACACATCATCTTTGACATATATCCTCTATGTTTATCCCATAAAAAATTGGTCACAAATCACTACTTATTTTTATAACTTTTAAGACCATCACTGATTAGTGATTATATATAATACTTGTGATTGATTTTTTTACACGTCTTATAATTTTGTAAGAAATATAAAGCAAGACGTGGGATCATTTCATAACTTCATTAACCATAATTGAATTTTTCTTTTCTGACGCGTCCGATCAAGACACGTTCACACCTCCATTAACCTTGATTCGACGATCGAAATCGTTTCATCCCACACGTGGAGTAACATTTCCGCTCATCATAGAATCTTCTATAAGTTTATTCCGGAAAAACGGTCTATGTCCCCATGAGAAGTATGCGTATCACGCCAGATAGAGCCTAAACTATGACCACGATTTAGATGTCCCTGAAAAAAAGTTATATACATATTTCTCCATGAATCAAAAGTTATACATCTAAATCTCCCCGAATTGATACTTCGATATCTATTAATCCACATGTCCGGTTTTTTTTTGGTTTATTATAGACCAATTCAGTCTTAACCATCTTAAAACAAATTTTAACCAAACTAAACCGAAAGTATCAAAATTAAGCCGAACTTGACCGACCATTAACGATCCGACTTCTTCTTCTTCTTCACCTGAAAATATTTTGGTATATTTTGGTTGGATTTTCTTCATTTAAAAACAATACAAATTAGACTAACTTCTTTTGGTTGATGAGATCAATGGGGTCGTCGATTTTGACAAGCTTTGAACAGTCTCTCTTCTTGGCCAAATCGATCTCGGATGCAAGTATTTAGTCTTCTCTGTAACTTCCAATTTAATTGATTTTCTGTAAATTTACTCATCTTCGTCAATTGCTTTTATATAACTTCAAATTCGAGTTTCTTAATCGTGATTTCATAAGATCTCTTCAAACTCTGTTTTTTATAGATTCGATGTGGAGAAGGTGAATACACTGAACATGGATGGGAAATTGGGAAGAAGAAGAAGCGTTGGATTTTGTAAATAACGAAAGCTGATTACAAGAATGCTTACGTCACGCTACGTAGCCCTTTGTCGATTTCTAAGGATTTGTTAGGAAGAGTAAAGTGAAACGTCGTCGTGGTGGTGAAAGAGATATTTCTCCGACGAGGGCTGGTGCTACGGTGACGCGGCGGCAACGGCCATGTTTCCAGTTAGGGGGTCATGAGTAGATTATTGTGATCTGGGTTTGTGTTTCCTTTAGTTTTGATTTTGTTTCTGTTAAAAAAGACGAGCTTGATAGTGAATCTGAATCATATAAGCTATATCTCAATTAGAGGTTATGAGATTTTGGCTAATACTCCCTCTGTCCCAATATATAAGATATTTGGACTAAAAGCACAGAGATTAAGAACAATAAATGTTTTCTCATTTATGAAAATTCAACCAATAGAAGAAGATACTGCATACTTAAAATAATTAAAAACTATTAAACTAATATAAATCATGCATTGAAAGTTGAGAAAATCTTATATAATAGAACAAATGAAAAGGTCTAAAACATCTTATATATTGGAACAGAGGGAGTAATAATCTTAATCATATGTGCTTTAATCACAAGAAGAAAATTCGAATTTCAATTTTGACAAAAAGGAAACCCAGATCTTGAAATCTGGTGAAGAAGAGAAGAAGAAGAAGAGGAAAGAAGAAGAAGAAGGGCATTTACAATCTCCAACGTAGTGGCTTCGGTAACAGAAGCGTTTTTGGGTTTAATCGGGTTTTCTCTGGTTATAAATGGTTAACTAAACAGTAAACCGAAGAAACCCAAAATTCACCGACGTAACCACGGTTCATGGAGATTAAGCTATTAAACTTTCATTTCGTGGGGAAATAGGTATTTAACTTCCGTTTTATGAACATATAGACCGAGGTCAAAGAACGGGTTCTATCTGGCGTGATGTGATAGTTCTCGTGGGGAAATAGACCGTTTTTCCGTTTATTCCTCAGGAAGAATGAAAACGTGAGATACTGATTTTATTTATTGTATATGCTTTTGGTTCTATGATTGTTAAATTAAGATATACTTTTTAACAACATTTGGCATGTTCGCTATACATATATAGCTCTCCTCTGGTAATACTAAATCAGTAAGTTAATTTCTTCCTCATTAACATTATTAGAAAAGTTTTTAAAAATGGCTCAATCTCTTTCTCTTTCTAGACGTTTCTCTTATTTCATCTCTAACACAATTTCACGGTAAGATCCTTTTATTTTTCACTCCCAAAATCAATATCCATATTTTTATGATCATTAGTTTAGGAGATATACAGTACGTGACTTATGAGGGTTTTGATTGAATATTGTCAAACCGTTTCATGATGGTGTCTATCTTTAAAAATTTTAATAATCAAATTGTCAGTAATTGTGATGGTGTGTTTTGTTTTGATCGTAGAAGAGGATACTCAGTGACAACTTCAAAAGGAGAAGCTAAAGTGATTAGAGGAGTTTCATGATGGTGTCTATCTTTAAAAATTTTAATAATCAAATTGTCAGTAATTGTGATGGTGGATACCAGATACGAAGCCCGGTTACTACAAACCGGACACCGGTCGGTCCGCAGTGTTGAATCATGAGAAGCACTAATAATTTTATCAAACGTTTTAGTGTATGCATGTGTGAATATTTTTTCATATGAAACAAAAGCGACGACTAATCTAAGGGAAAAAGATTCATGGTTTTGATTTTGATTGTATGTAACATTCAAGTAGTCACTATGTATTATATCAAGCATCAACATTAAAAGGTCCCGAAAAAGCAAGCATGATATGATATATGACTTGGGGATGATTCTGATCAAATTCTTAGATTTTGCAATCGATCCTACCGACAAACAAGCCCTGAAAACCTTGTGAAGGTGTTGCAAAAGAGTCCCGAAAGCATCTTTCTGCGGATTAGCTCTTCTTGATTCCTAACGACGAAACTCTTCTTGTGAAGGTGTTGCAAAAGAGTTCCTCATTTTTAAAATTTTAGCCCCGTTGCTTCACTTTTTTCCATTCAATAATGTTAGTCAGTGAGCTACAACGCTCGCAGCATACCAAACTAACCTAGACTGATTTATTGTTTGCTTTGATTCATTATACAATGTGGAAATAAACTCTTAAGGGACGACGGAGTTTAACAAAACGGTTATAGTGGGGATCTTGTTCTTTGTTTGGGGATCTTGCAATAGGAATGGTACGGAATCTCAGAGGATTTTGCACGCATTCTTTGTCGAATCTTGAAGAGTTCTTTTGCAGTTGCAGTCACTGATAAGTTAAAGAGTATTAAAAAGAGTTTATGAAACTGGAACAGAGGAGAGAGAGCCTATAATAAGAAATTAAAACTAATCTTTTTTTTGTTGTTTATTAATACAAGATAAATGGAAATCTATGCTAATACACAGTAATGTTACAACATACCAATCTCCCAACTCAATGGAAGATGGCTACAGAATCAGATTCACAGGTCTGACCCTGTTTTCACGGTCTGATTCTGTCCCTCTAGCAAACTTATTTGTCGCCTCAGTTTCGCAATATGAGCTTGAACCTATCCAGCAAAGAACCAATCCAAAATCACAGTTAAATGTCTAAACTTAATATCAAAATTAAGAAAACACAGTTAAATGTTTTCAAGTTACCTGTTGACGAGCAGCCGCAAGCTGTAATAACTCATCTGCTTCAGAGAAACTCATGAACCATTGTCCCAAACTATGATCTTTCGTATCTCCTCTCTTCTTTTTGCCGGTATCCTCCACTTGCACTAATCATAGAATTTGTTGTGTGAGACGACATTTTAAGGCAATGATCAACTTAAACTAAAGAATGAAAGAAGCTTTAGATAAGAAGATCATACTAGGAGCAGGCAAGTTGTAACCAGAGGGTAATCTTGGAAATGTCAAAGCCGGATGATTCTGAACCCTAGATAGAAAACTTTCTGAAGGATCAGGAAACACAATCTCGTCGTAAGATTCCACAACCACAGGCTTCTTCATTGTCAAAGGACCTGATTCATCTTCCGGGTATAACTTTAAATGATGATATCTGTTGTATCCACCCAAAACAACAATATAACTCATAAGTAACTCTTCCAATTGCTCGCATTTTCTACTAACGAACTAAAAAACCCATTTAACGGGGACTTACAAACTCAATGGCTTATCGCAGACATCGCTGTGGAAATGCAATGTCATCGCAATCTCGAATTCTCCCCAACCAGATTCCGATACCTCAAATGGAGGCTCCTCGATAACTCTCGTCGGGTTATTAAAACTAGAATGAAGCTGAAATACAACTTTCTTTACTACAACACTGATATCTTCATTTGTTGCCCCTCGAACATATACTGCCCACTTGTGTGATTGATACCTAAAGAAACACACAATTCAAGGGAACTCTCAAACACGTTTATTCAAGGGTATTGTCAAAATATAACCTTTCTAAGTTTCTTGTAAGAACTTTTCGTCATTATCCAAAAGAACTAAAACCCTAACAACAACCAATAAACCTTAATGACCATTTATGTACACTGTCTCTCTTTTTTTTTTAAACGGTATTGTAAAAATAGGAAATTTTTAACTTTTCTAATAAAAATAAGAACTTTGCTTCACACTATTCCAAAAGAACTAAACTCCTAAATAATAATCTATAAACCCAAATTGTTATATTTAAAAATTTCAGAAATAAAATCTGTTTTTACAGTTGTTGAGATACTTACTCACTAGCCTTCTTGCCAAGCCAGAATGCTACATTACCATACACAATTGGAACGCTTATTTCAATGTCTTTAAGCTTCTTCTGCTGATTAAACCAAAAAAAAGGAGAGATTTTTAAGTTGGTGAAGATGACCAATTTGAAAAATTTAAGAGGATACAAAACAAAATAAGTGGTATTACTCTTCTGGGTTTATGTTGAATTCGATTGAATAAAGTAAAAGACGCACCTTTTCGTCGGATTTAGTCATTTTGGCTTTGAGTGATTTGAGAGTTGGTTCGCTAGTTTCAGGCTGATCTTGAGCTTGTTTCTTCGATGACGAACTGTTCGTCATTCTTCTTTCTGGGTAATTTAAGATTTCACTCAGATAAAATTAAGGTCATCTTCTTCTTCTTCCTCGTATGAGATCTTTTCCTTACAAGGAAGAGTTGATGAAGATCGACTTAACCTTTACAGATCTGTGTTTAGGTTTTCCGCTGGTTCTGTAAAAACGGCGATTCAACAAGACGATTTCCTTAGGTTTTTGTTTGTTTTCTTTAATAATAAAATATTAATTTACCTACTAATGTGAAAGGCCCAATTTTATTTACATACTCAGGCCCAAAGTTTTAAAATTACTTTTACCGTTGTTCAATTTTGTTTTGATCCACCCAAAAAATACATAATTTGATGAGTGATATTAAAAGATTTCAAGTTACTTATACTAATTTTTCAACTCTTTGAATTCCTAGAAAAAATCGATCGAATGGATTTCCGGTTTTACGGTCAAAATTTTCGACGACTTATTTTTTTTGTACTGTTATTCTTCTGCAATTAGCATGTATTTAACGTTCTAATTTCACCTTCATGGCATCAACTCCTCATTTGGGTCCACTCGACTTGCACCAACAAGGCGACCTTCTTGGCTCTTTTTCGAAAATGGTATGTTTTACGTATACGAATTACGAAAAAAACGCAAAAAGCTTTTCCAGTTGTGGCTCACCTTTCATACTCAAGGTTATTTTGGTTGGTAAACTCCAATTTTTGCAATCCAAGTTTGGTACCTTTCATCTCCTTTGCTTGTCAAGATCTTAATCGCATCTTCTCTTCAATAAGGTTATGGTTTGAGGTCAATTGGATTCAATGTGATTTGTTACATCTCTTCCATGTTTGGTTACATTTGTTACATTTTAATGAATAATTTTGGCAAATATGTTAACAAAATTTCTCTACGTAGCTAATTAGCCTAAACAACAGTTTGTAGTGATATGTTGTGTTTTTATCGGTTTTGAGTCTTTGTTTTCTTTCTTACATCATATGTTTATCGAGTCAAAGTGTGTTTTTAGAGTCTTTTAGTCGTTTATCGAGTTTCTACAGGTTTTAGGTTGCTTCGGAGGAAAACGAGCTGTTTTGGGATATAAACACACATTTGGAGATGCAGTTTCGTTTAGAAGTGTCAGACGTTTTGCCTCAGATGGAATACTTTCCACCGTTAGATCTTTCTGCATTTTTTACACAAGTTATATGAAGATGTTAGCTTGAGCTTACAAGTGGTTTGAAGGAAATCTAACGGTGCATTCAAGATTTATACCCGAATTAGTGAAGACAGGTCATTCTGCCGAGCATTTGAAGCAGTTGCGGAGTTGGAGACCAGAAGATCCAGATCGATCGATCCACTTGTGGATCGATCGATCC